CAAGGAACGAGGGGACCGTGCGGCAGAGTTTCAGTTAGATTTTTTTTCGCCGGTCAACATGTCGGTCTACAACAGATGATACAAATGTTTGTGTCAGTAAATGTGTACGAACAGAGGCAGGGGTGTTGTGAAAACAACTTGCTCTTAAACTCATTTCCCTGATTCTCGTGGTTTCCTTGCGTCTCTCCATGCTTCCCTGGTGGGAGGGACTAAACGCAGGGAAAGGACGCAAGTGAGGGACGCAAGGATTCCATTTAACCGACCTGAGATGCAGCCCAAGTCGGACAAAACGACTAACCATCATGCAACGCACTAGCAAGACGGCGATCGCAATTGCACAGGTCTGCGTCGGTCTCGCTCATCTCAAACAAGCCTAATATCCTGTATCTGTGTCACGTGGGTTTCGCCCCTCCTCGTTGGGATGGGGGGCTTTTAAATGACTAGCGACAGGTTACAATCCATTAAATATTTTTTGGACAAGTGAACGTGAAAACAGATTATAACCATTATTATAGACTGTATGATTAGGACCGATCCTTTCGCCACATAGTCACCAGATTAAATAGTTCACATATTTCCGCAAGCCAAATATCTTCCGGACTTTCCCCCAAATTACATTTTTCAGACATCTGGAGAAAAATGTACTTTGCTTGAGACAACATTTTCTGATCTCAGCAACACACACTTGCAAGATCTGGCAACACAGCTCCTAATTTTTCAGCTAGCACCTGAACATTTTTTATATAACTTACATTTGTGATGCTGGAAATGTTTGGTTGTTGTCTAAATATCACATTCTTAGCTAAATAAATGCCTGGACAGATAACTTAAGTGCATTTTTCCGTGTTTCAGTAAAATTACTGTGCGGCCTGGAAGCATCTCATGGTGCTGTAGAGGAGGTCCTCTCGTCTTCAGTGAGTGTCGCAGCCAACGCTTTGGACAGCAGTGATGACCTCGATCCCGAAGAAGATGGAGAAAACGAAACTAAAGATGCCAGCAAGAAGAAAAACAAGAGGAGAAAGGGTATTATTTGTTTAAAGTTTACTGAGAAAATGTATGAGATGATAATGCAGGACCAAAGGTTAACATGTTTATTTTTTTCACAGAAAGCAGTGAGAGCGGTGATGGCGGGCAGTATCCAGTGGATATTTGGTTAATGCTTGCCTCCTACATTCGGCCTGAGGATGTGTGCAGATTCGCTCTGATCTGCAAGAATGCCTGGACTGTCACTTGCACTGGAGCTTTTTGGACCAGGATTTACAGAAGGTGAGGTGGTTTTATTGATGAAGTCAGTGGACACCAGCCAATATTTGTGTACAGGTTACTTTATAGTGAACCAAAAAAAGCTCCAGGCTTTCATTTACAATTTTTTTTGTATTAAATGACATGTTGACAAGATACATTTTTGAATGTGGTAAAATAAGTTAGCAGAACAAATCGAGTAAACTGACACTTTGTTTAAATAACATGTTTTCTCTCCCTTTCACCTTCCATCTCCAGGCACTACAAGATTAATACTGACCTGCCGTTACGTCTCCAGCCTGACTGTATTGACAGGATGGGCTCTTTACGTGCACGTGTGATTCGCTCCCTTTTCCATTTCTATGAGCCGTTCAGCTTGCGTGTCTCAAAGATTCCTGCCCTGCCAGAATCCACGCCCACAACCTTGTTTAACTCCAAGGTAAATGAGTTGATTTGCAATCAGTCACTTTACTATACAGACATGGAGCTAAAGTATTGTTAGTCCTTGTAATTAATAGATCTGACTTTTTCATGCAAATTGCTCATGGCTAACCAGGCTATCCACGACCACCCATGTTAGGCTGGAGCCACACGAGGACGATAACGCAAATGGACTGAAATCGATATCAAAAAAGTCTTCCATCCACACGCAATAGGCACCAGAAACGTGTCCGTTCACACGAGACCGCTCGATAGTGCTGGAGACGCTGTAGTACATATGCCGGGCCTGTAAGTGGCGCTGTACTCGTGCCACAAAAGCAGCGAAGAAGACTTCCCACGCATGGTTGCCATGGTTGCCCTTCTGTTTATTTTCAGCTGTGGGCGCTCTGGCTCTTTTTTTCCCTCCCCGAGGCAAGCGTTTGCTCCTGCTGTAATTCTCTCCGGTTAGTCCACCAGCAGATGAAAAACACCCACTTCTCCGCCTCTTCCAAGGGACGAGGGGACCGTGCGGCAGAGTTTCAGTTAGATTTTTTTTCGCCGGTCAACATGTCCGTTAAAGTTGAAATCTTCCGGACAAAATTAGAAAAGTGCGGGTCAAAGGTCTTCTTTGTTATTTATTGAGCTTTAAAACAAATTGATAACGACTCCATATAATAATAATAATAATAATAATAACAATATAAGAATAAAAAAACGGAGCCTCTCTTTTCCCCCCCCTCTTCTGACAGCCCAGCAGCTGATCTCTGAGCAGGAGAGGTGGGGAGAGGCGGGGCTATTGCTTCAACATTTTTAAGGAAATTATCGTTTAGGCGTAAACACGGAGCCGTTTGCCCCCCCAGAGCGTTTTGTTTGCAGATCTACCCACCTTGGGACCCGTTATCGCTATCGTCTATCTATCTGATAGTGAACTGTAGCAGATACGACTGTTATCGTCCTCGTGTGGCCGGGGCCTTAGGCTAAAGCCAGGTATTATAGAACCTAAATTATTTATATGTATACATTATGTCTCGATATTTCATTTGTATTCCTCTCACTGTGCAAATGTTGATGTTATATGCTTAATGTTCCCTGTTGTAGTGTTTACTGTCCTGGGTCAGAAAGGTTTCAGGGACCCGGCCTGAGGCATTATGGGAGTTCAACTTCAAGTTTCTTAAGCATGTAAGAAAAACATTTAAAAAAACAAATTAACTTCTTTTGTTTTGATAACCTTTTACATAGTCAGTCGTTGCTTCTGCTGTCATGTTTATTTCCGTGTGTTTCTGTGGTCATCTCCCTCGCAGCAGGGACACAGTAAGAATGGTTGTGCCAAGTCATTGTGTCTGCCAAGACAATACGAAGATGTCCACCTGAACCCAGACTCTGACTGCTACATGCTTCAGGTCACCACCCTCAACTTCATCTTCACCCCTGTGGTCATGGGCATGTCGCTATCCCTCGTGAGTAACTCAATTATGATTTTTTTTTTATGAGGCCTAGGGATTAGGACATCATGTTTATGACTGAGACTATCAGAGTTTATCGGTTTATAGAGGCCACATAAAAGATCAGAATGGATAAAGACAGACAGACATGGGTAAATCTCCTTCAAAACATTAAGAATATCTTCCCCTATTTGTCATGTTATGCTTACAACTGTATTTTAATTTTTGGCAAATGAATCTGCTTTGGCCTATATTATCTTCCGCACAAAGGATATAATACCGTTTTGGATAATGGCTGGTGTACCAGGTATCCTTATCTCCTCTTCAAATCCAAACTTGTCTGTTTCTCTTCTTGTAGTTCACAATCAACGTTAGCACAGACATGCGCCACCACCGTGTCCGCCTGCTGTTCCAGGACTCTCCGCTCCGGTGGGGGAAGAAGAGGGGGGATCAGGGCGGCACCCAGGTGGTGTTGGATCCCGTACAGAGTGTAAAGATCATGGAGTGGTGGCACCCACAGTACCCCTCCTCAGCCTTTATATAGGAGCCATACCCTTCTTGCAGGACGTCCATTCAATGAGAAGTCTTCAGATATCTCAGCCTGACTGCTGAACCATGGATTAGGTTTATTTACTTCTTTTGGAATTTACTGTCCCCATCAACATTTCCATCATCAACTTTTTTTAATTGTCATTGTTGGATAAAATTGTTGTTAAAGAAAGTCAACATTTGATGGCCATAGATGGGATGGAAACCCCACTCCCATTTTCAAAATCAAACGTTGTTGCATGCCTATCCACCACTGCAACCTCCACACCCAGCGTTTAGTGTTATTTAAAAATCATGATTTATCCCAGATGTAAATCATGTCCTGCAAAATTGTCCACTGTGAACATTACTCTTAGTAATATTAGGGCTTGTTATGCATAAAAAACAAATCTGCCACCTCCACAAAGGAACTTTGGCAGTACTCTCGACAATTTATAAAGAAAAATTACAAAAGATTAGTAGTAGTTTCTCATTCGACAGCTGAAAGAAATCAAACGTCAAATTGCTTTGCATTGTTATCTCAAAGTTACCTGTGACATGATCACAGTGGTATTTGATAGATGATACATATTGATTTATTGCCCAGCCCTACAGATATGCCAGAGGAACATGTACATTTGAGCTCCCGGTTGTATTCAAAGACTCGTTATTTTACATTTGAGAACATGTTGCATATTGAATCTACATGTGTCACACAAGTTTTATTTTTAACAAGTGAATGAATGGGTTCAAACTAGGGCTGAACGATATAGAGTGTCATGGCGATAACCGCGATATGCGCATGCGCGGTATTCATATGGCAGGGAAGTGGGATTTTATTAATTTTTTATAATACGTTTTTTTTTTTTTTCATTTTAGGGCGTGCGATATTAAGTAGGTACATTAACTCAAACACGTCGTGTTACAATTATTTTGCTGCTTGCTACAAAAGGAAAACTTGCGCGGCTCTCATGTCAGGGGTACTTGAGTGAGTGACATGCAGGCTCTGCATGCACAGCAAGCCACCAATCACAATAATCTTTAATCAGATCACAGCAGGCCCCGCCCTGCTAGTTTGCAGACCATCAAAACACCGGTAAAAAATGAGCGAGGCACAGGAGGACAATACCGGAGAGAATTAAGATTTACTTCCAAAAAGAAAAGCAACATCTGCCATCTGGAACTATTTTGGATACAAAAAGGTTCTTCTCTTCTTCATTCACAGATGAACCCCCTTATTTGAGGGTAAGCAACATGCATTATCATGACATGTTAGAACATGACTTAAGGTATGATGAGTCAACCAGTTAAGATCCATACTGTACGTCCGTGACTAAAATCCTTCATCCGGTTAAATATAGTTTAAAAAAAACGCAATATATATCGCAGGGGAAAAAAATATCGCAATGTCATTTTTTTCAATATCGTGCAGCCCTAGTTCAAACATTTGTTCTGCCCTCCCTTTTGTTATGCTTACAACATCTTTATTTTGCGTTTTGACAAAGTTGCAGCAAGAAAGTTGTATTCTTTTAAGATCATGTGTTTTGCTGATATATGTAATTTAAAGGCAGCCACACTTAGTATTATGTAAATATTAATGACACTGCATTTCACACAAGGGGACAAAGAGATGATTTACCTCTGATGTCGTCATCTACTTATCTCCTGATCTGGGCAATGTTTGATTTCTTGTGTTTTTTGGAATATAATATATAAAATATCTTGTTTGTCTCCCTGCTGACTATGAGCCATGTAGGCTACCATACTGTCTCTTGTAGAATCACGTTCTCAAATAGTTTGAAGTGGTCTGTTTTATGAGTCTTGTATGTGAGTTGAATCATACCAATCACATTCTTGAATTGTATTGGGAGAGAGCTATCATTTATATTAATATATCCGTGGATCAAACATAGTGGAAGCTATTTAACCTTGATTGATTTGCATCTATTTGTGCATGAAAACATATTAAATGAACCACAAACATTTCACACTGATGAAAACAAAATCAAGATAGCTGAATGTTCTGATTAGCACCAGTTGTTTGTTTTATCGTGAGTTGCATTGATAAATAAACTACACTGAAATAAAAACTCAAACTGCCCATTCAAAATGCATTCAGTCATATGTTTTAGGAAATGTTGATTAACTAAACATTCAATTTATTTTTAGAATTTGCTTCCCTCTTGTTGTCCTATTGGGTACTACCGGTGTGCTCTAAAATTAACTGAATAAAATAAGGCTCTCCTTCACATTGCTTTATATGTAAGAATATTAGTGTACTTGAACTGTAACATGCTATATTTCCTTGAGAAACAAAGCAGCACTTTATACAGAAACCTGGACGGCCCATTTCCTGAAATACAGCTGTGGGACCTCAAGATGGTATTTACAACTCCACAAATAAACTCATGCCTCCTGCCAACATGCCGGATATATAAATCAGACAGAAATGTGAGTTTTGGAGTTGGACATGGATCAACAATATATGGGACTTATTAAGAGATTTAACCTATGGGTTTAACACAAATACACAAATTAGCCTCAAATAAACAAAGATACTGCCAATAAGACAGTTTCCACTAAATTGTTGAACATTTGAGAATTTGAAAAGATACTAATGTATTTTAAATGGTTTCCATCAAATGCCTTCATCCTAACACTGACACATCACACTGAAACAGGAATTAAACTAAAATGCGTCATAAATATGAAACAATATCACTGAAAGAAGCATCTCAATTGCAGGCGGTTTAAAACAATAAAGTTGTCTCCGTCCGAGTTGTTCTTGGAACTCTTCAGCTAAAGTTAGAGGACCTCATAAAACTCTGTGCAGTCAACAGGCACAACGTCATCGCCTCGAAATACCACTCTGTCGAAGATATGAGGAAAAACTACATTTCCCACAATCCCGTCTGCGCTTTGCCATTGGTGGTAGCACAGGTGACCGCAGACGCTTTGAGTTATGACAACATCTCGACTGACAAAACGAAAACAAATTAGCCTCCGAAGTGCCAGTGGTGGTGGGTGGTACACGCCGTAGCAGTCTGTGGAAATACAGAGAAACTTGAAACTCTTAGAAGCTTCTTGTCCTCTTTAACGCGTCTTTCTCTCCCGATAATCGCGGCCGGGTTCGGTATTGTCAGAGCGCATGAGAGAAGTGGGCACGCACTTTTGGTGAACCTGACTTCTTTACTTCGGTCTGTCTGACCTTCAGAGCTGGTAAGTGATATTTTACCACCACCACCACTGAAAAATAGCTTCTGCAAAACACTACTAACTCTAGAAACCCCGGCGAGCATTAATTCAAATTGCGTATTTCCAGATTGAAATGCAAAATAGAGCGATAGCCTATAGAGAATAATTTAGTTTAAAATGAAAATGATCTAATGTAAGTCCTTAGGCAATTGAAGGCATCACTGTCTTTCTGCTAAATCATCGCACAAATAGTTAAACAACACTTCAGGCTTTGTAGACTAGACGTGTAACGCTAGCAACATACTGACAGCTACTGTCCTTAAACTTAACATAGTCACAATCAAATCAAAGTGCATCATTCGTTAAGTCTTTGCTTCCAGGTCATGATTATGTTATTATGAATCCAAATTGAATAATTGTTGGACATTCAAAAGTTTATTTAAAATACAAAAAAAATGAAGAATTGCACAAAGTAATTCACATAATAGTATGAGAATAGCACACATTCACATTTAGCTGTTAGACTTTTTGGAAGAGGACACTGCTACAGCTTTGGGACCCACTAGGTTAGACACTAATGCACCACTTTCCCCTGTATACTGTCATCAGTAGAGAGCTATTGCCATTTATAAGCAGTGGCCAGCCGGTATCAGTAACAACACCTCAGCCCTGGGGTATGATTCTATGTATAAGCTGTGACTGTAAACTGTACAGACTACTCTGCTGTGTATTCAAGTGCTTTGCTTTAAAGTCTTGCATGGTGCAAACATAAAAATAATGGAGGCAGCACTGACTATTTATGCCCCCTTCATCACCTCTGCAGCATAATGCACATACTGTGTGTTTATTTATAGTGTGCCTGCATGCAGAGTGAATTATGTATTTAGCCTGATGCTTTCCAGTAATGCAATGTCAAAGTTTTATTCCAGTTTTAATGTTTTACATATACCGGGAGTTTAGCTGTGATTTTAAAAGGAACCTTGCTGCATTTAAGTGCGACATGTATTAATCCACCTCAATATTATGTGTTTTTCCCTCGCTTTTACATTATATAATGATCTCCCATGATAAATATAAATATGAAGATTTACCACGGTTAAGGTCTAACTTTATCCCCTCCATAGTCTGTCGGAAGTCTGTTGGTCCGATTGCCTGTCTCAGTGGTCACCAACCAGTGTGGTGCGGGTAGATCGCGCACCGTTAAAACAATAAAAGTAACAAAAAAAATAAAAGTTAAAAAATAATGTTTTTTCTTTTAACGTTTTTAGATGTAAGCCTATCATCCACCACCCCTTTAGCAGGTGTTCAATGTTGCACCTGCATGCAGCTTCAGTGGATAACCCTCACAGTTAAAATGGCACTTTATGTTATCTGCTCACTGCAAGATGTTTTTTTTTTCTTTGTTGTTGTTGCTGTCAACAAAATAATGCACATTCACTCAAACAAATGGAAAATAAGCTACATACTGAATGAATACTGAATGTAATGAACGAAACTTAAAATGATAGGTATGATATACATATTTATCCTTTTTGACATGTTAGTTATGTTGTGTTCTTGGTTTAATCAAATTGGAAGTTGCACCAAATGATTTGATGTAATTCAGATGTAATTAGCCTACATAAAAGGCCTCAAATTGGAAGTACTATCTGGGCCGTCTTTTTCACTCAATTCTGCAATAGGTAGATCTCGCCTTTCACCAAGGCCAAGGTCGAGGATCTTGGGCTTTAAAAGGACCACTGCTTTAGATATGTGTACCATCTAAATCACACCAACCAAGTGTTTGACACTTCACCCTGACCCCTGACCTCTCCGATCGGCCTCTGTGATCATCTTTAGCTCTTAACGGAACCAAATCATGGTCAGAGCAGAACAGCCTCAATAGGTCTGAATATAGCTTCTAACTGTTAAGTTTCTACTTATATTCATGACTTGACTACTTTTGTTTTTACTTCTTAAGAAATGAAGCCTTTAGCTTTTAGCGAGAGCGCTAATCTAGAGACCATGTTGTGTTAGGAGATGCTATGATGACAGCTCATAAAGTGAGATGCCCAAAATAGAACATCTCGAGCACAGCAATCCCATTAAACTATGCATATGATTATGTATGACATAGATTGTGAAATAGGGCTTTGAAGGAACTGAAGCCATGGAAAACCACACAATAACCATTTAAAAAAAGGGCACTAATCAAACAATCAGCATTTAATAATCCTTTTAATGACTTAGTAGAAATATGCCTGTTAGGCACAGTAAGGTGTTTCAGGTGCTTTCAGTTGATTCTAGGAAAATAAGTGTTTCAGGGAAGTTGCGCTGGATCACTGAGGTCAACCACACTCACAAATATAGTTTCTTGGTGGCATGTGCGTTTTCCTTAATGTGTTTCGATAGAAAATCAAAACAGATAGTGACATTAAAGGAACCAAGAACTTCCAGCACTTTGTTGTTCACTGTAACGGAGACACAGATGGGTATCCACATGCATGGGGGCATGTTCAGCTGCAGGTCTCAGGAAATAATGTGTTTTTTGATGCATGAGAGTAGTTTATTTGGCTCAGGCAACCACAGTAAATGCGTATCAACATTCATGAACACAAACACACACACACACTGAGTGAATGAGTTGTTGGTGTGAGTTAAGGCCATAGTACTGGAGTGTATTTTGTTCCACATAAAAATGAAGTAGCACGCAAGTTAGTTCAGCAGTTATGTAGTCACATGGTTTAAACAGGAATTATCGTTCTCCTGGACGGATAAAATTACTTTCTCAAGCTATCTTTGTTTGGTTGTCTCTGTCTCTCCTTTTCACCTCGTTTATCAGCCTCTCCTCATTTCAGCGAATCCATGAGTGAATGAAAACATCTCCGTTGTGTAAAAAAAGATAAATCTACTCTATTGTGATCTGGCACAAAACTGTCTGGAAATGTGACACTAATGTAGTGCTGCTTCATATCAATAAAACAATTTAAAGTTAACTATATCCTCGTTATTCTATCATGTGCCTCTTGGCGTAATTATATAATATTCTTAAGAATGCCTCTGAACTAAAATCCTGTCAAAAAGCACACAGAAGATAACTTACAATAAAAGCTGCCTGCAACACAGTATCAGAAAATCTTTATAAAACAAACGTTGGACGTCATAACCAGTTGTGTTAGAGAAAAAATGACAAAGCAGGGTGTCTGTGTGGCTGTTGAGACATTTACCTGCTCACTCTCTCCCTCTTTGCCAACACAAGCATGTGAACAGAATAGAAACAGGGAAAAATGGGACACATACATATAGAGGAGTCGTTGGGGTTATTGAGTACACACAAAGTACGAAGGGTCAGGGGTTAGTTAACACACTGAGCGGTGAGGTCATTGTCAGCAAGGTCAGAGGTGACCGGCCACTATGTTGAGCAGCAGTGATGCCTGGCAGACTAATCACACTCTCTCCAAAAGAACAGTAGCAACCTGCTCAGATTATTTCATTTCATTTTTATTTGTCCCGCTCATGGTACGCAAAACCAAATGTGCAATAATTGCCACAAAACAGGACTCTACCAAAACACCATTGAGCAAAAAGGAGCATGGAGAAGAATACAATCTTATGTGACCTGCCCCTTTCTAAAAAAACAAAATAAATACAAATAGCTGGTCTGCCCTTCATAATAATACTTTTTTTTTTTTTTTTCCACAGCCAAACATAACAGTATCTTAGGATACTAAGAGAAACACAAACAAAAAAATACTTATTTCCAACTTGACGGTTAACGGAAAGAAACAAAACAACACCAAAACATCACATGTATAAGGAAAAGAAAAGGAAAGTGCAACACCCTCATCTGAGTCCTACTGGAGAAGAAGGTGGAAAGCGACGCGTGATGATAATAATAACAATAACAACAATAACAATGGCAATGGGACCCGCAAA